TTTATTACTTCTTATACATTGAGTAGTATGAATCCTCGCTTTGTTGACCCATTGATACCGACAAGTTGGTTTACAGCAAAACATCTGTCTCTCCGCCTGTGGACAACATTAGCGCCATGTGTAGGGTTTTCTCCAGAATTGATATTCCCCCATCGAACTGGACGAACTTGAGACACTGAGAATTTAAAACGAATGTTTTGAATTTGGGGAGTACTTCATGTGAAGTACCAATGATATTTTTCAAATTTTTTCAAAGGTGACACCAAATGTTTGGTTTAAATGTTTGCTCAGATAGAGCAAAATACGCTTTGAAAAATGTCACAGGTCCCATTTTTGTTGAATTCTAAATTTTTAAATATTGAAAATATTTAATTTTTTTCAACGCCTTCCTTCATCTGCATTATTTAAGATAGAATTTTTTTCTCCATGAAATATTTTTCCCAAAATTAGATCTTTAAATGTGATTATGTATAATTTTTTCAATCTATGGGTTGTTTTCGCGTAATTTTTCGTGACATAAAGGCAATTTTAAAGAAATGCATATCCAAATTTTCTCACGAACGGCTCAAAATATTTTCTATTTTTTTCTTTGTAGAACGTGTGCATATAAAATTGGCGCATATCCGTTTAATTGAAACCTCAAAATTTTCGAAAATTGAAAAAGCTTTTTTGTGTTTTTCAACAATACAATACTGAAGAATGAAATCTTTTGAAATATCAATATTGCAAGAACATTGCCATGTGATTTTTTTCAAATAATTTGTTGCTTCTGCTCATCTTTCATTTTAAAGCGTCGGGAAGATTGTAAAGCTGCCGGAGTAATTTGATACGGTGTATATGCCCGATAATTGCTAAACGGAAGTACGCTTGCTCGAATTCCAACGTGGACAAAGAATTTGCGAGTTGAAAACATTACATTTTTATGACAAACCAAAGACTTTTCTATCGTAATGTCGTGATATCCATGTCCTGTTAGCTGTTGAATGATTCTTGTTTTGAAAGAAAATATCTAACAAAGCCTTTAGTGACAAACATCCTGGTCAATTCGTAGAACAGGCCCAAAACTTTTGTTCTCAATTTATAAATAATTGCAAATCATTATTCCTTGACAATGTGACAATCAGGAAAGTGCCATCACGATTAACGAAATAATGCAAAACCGTCGAATAATACATGGACACAAAATTATAAATATGAAAAGAAAAAACACAAACATGTAAACTGAGTGAAATCGATCAATCCAAATTAAGTAACTTAAAAATCTTAAAAGCTTATCATGTGAATTACAAATCTCTCTAAGAATGACATCAGTTGAAATTTATAATTTAAAATGCGATGCCAAATTTTATGTAGAAGCAAACATATTACATGGGAAGTAATTCGATGTACTTTGATATCAGTGAGGTTTCAACATATGATTATTGGAGACGCACTCTGTGTTTTGTTACCACATTCAAAATACTATTTGAATGAAGAAATGGTCACCCTTGTGAATAGAAAGAAATTTAAAAAGGAAGTTTAATATAAAAAAATAGGTTTTTTACTCGTTAAAAAATTTTTCGTGGTCAATATGACGAACCACTAACACAAAGATTTGAAAGGAAATACTACTTAAATTATGAATTATACTTGTAAACTTAAGTTATGTAGTGATGAAGGTTAAAAGAAAACACATCTTACATTCTGAAATATATTTCTCTTTTATACAAACATGTTTACATATAAATTTACATTACAAAAACATATATCACCAGATTCGATGTTCTCGACTAATTTCACTTTGCAGAGTGTTCGTCTTGGGCTGGTTAAGTTGGCACCCATTTCGTTTATCACAATACGCGTAACGCACTCACTCACAAATAAATTACTTATTCTACATAGCACAAAAGGAAAATAAATAGAGAATATATTGTTAAAAGCTACGTTGTAGCCTAATATATTGGAAAATTTAGTTTCTATTACTTCGCCAGTGTCATAGAGTGACTCCTGCTGGAATAAAGCAGTTAAAATTATAGGGAATTGTCAATGAAGAGTTTAGCCGAAATACCTTACACTTTAAATAAAACATACATTTTGTAGTAAAATATTGTAAACTACAATTTTTATAAATTAAGTTGCTTTCAGACTATTTTCCTTTTGTCTTAATAATGTATTTGATTATACATACTATCAGCAGGATCAGCCAAGCAAGAAATCTGGCTGGCAAAGCGTAATGTAATTATTTTTATAAATTGGATCTTTTTCTGGTATTTTTCTTTACAGTTTGTAAATTATTAATTTTGTTCGCAGTCTTGAATTAAAATGAAGTGTATTTATAACCTTCTCTAACCTTCTAATAATGATATCAGTGTGTCATAATGCTTATTAAAACAGCATCTTCAATGTACTGCAGTTCAACATATGCCTGAAGTTCATTATTTAGAATACACCACTCATTTTTTAGCAATCAAAAAACAGATGTGACTTACATAGATTTACCATTAAACTGATGACATCGGCCGTTTGTTTACCTGAGTACTTGTTTCTTTTGAGAATTAGTTGCGCTTAAAAATTACAAAATGATGTGCTTTTGATAATTTGTGGACGTTTAATGTTCGGCATAAATTTGGTTAGTTTAGTATGGAAAATGTCACTAACAGATCCAAAACACAATGAGATTCTCATCTTTATCACAACGACCCTGATTGAATAACTCGACCCAATCTACAGTTCTTACAATTCCTGTTCTTTTAATGACTTACAACTGAATAAATTGGAAAGGCACACGTTTTGATAAAATTTATACGTATAAGTCTCGATTGTTGTCAAGTATTTTATATGAAATGTATTACATTAATGATCAAAATAAAGAATATTCAATTAAAACAATAAAATAAATCTATGGCGTATAAATCTTCTTACAAGTACACTCATTTGACCATAGGAAAAGCTCATGGCATATTTATATTCGATTTAAAGAAGTGTGTTGAGTTTCTCTTTTCACACCTCCATAAAAAAGCATTTAACATTAAAAAATATATGGGTCAACGTTCCATTCTTTGTAACTCGGACGCAGTAAGCTAGAGACTCTCAACGCTGACATAATAGTTAGCACTGCTGCAACGCAAATGCACGTGTACCCTAAGCCAGCTTACAAGGAACGCCTTAAACAAGCACAGGAATTTCCCGAGCCAGTCCGCCAGGCGGAGTACGCAGCCTCCGGGGTTCGTTTCAAAGAAAGGGGGTAACAGGGCAACACAAGGCCCGAAGCACTGCGTAGTTGTTGAGGACGCTCTCGTAGGCGCTCAGCAACTACTTTATGTTTACACGGGTACAACAACTCGCGGGTGGCATTTGTGCGTCCACTAAGATCTCCTTCGTGAATTCCACTTTCTAGTACACAAAATAGACCAATAGTAGTATTTGGAATGGTGGAATAAAATGTGAAAATAATTATAAAATTCGTTGTTCATATTTCGTTGCATAGTTCGTACCATGAAAGTGTCACATGCTAAATGTAGGGAGAAACGTAACATTTTCAATTGGGAAGTAGGCCTATACTGCATTTTAACAGATGAAGTGTTGAACGGGTGCTCCTATATTAAGCATATAATATTAAAACACATTTAAAAGTCGTTTGAAAGACATGTTGCTTCGACGCCAAAATGAGATGCATGTGTACCTTCATTCTCGTTTTAATGCATTACAATGCATTGCGTCTCTTCGTCTAACCACGTATTTCTTATTTGAATGATATCCATGATGATTCAACGTACTTACGACAAAAATTTTGAAAATATTATTTTTACTGTAACATTTTTGAATATTTGTGAACTAAACGTTGTTTTATTGCAAATGAAAATAAACTTTGAAATAAATTAAAATGAACTTTAAAATAAATGAATTACATAAATGAAATTTGAAGTTATAGTAATTATTCTTATACATTTTCAGCCGATTAAAACAAAACAAAAAAAAACATAGGCATTAGACGTCCCCAGACATTTGGATAATTTAGCATTTCGTGAAACTCATCTCGGCGTTACCACACGAGGAAGCGTGTGTATGCCGCAGAGCGTATTACATACTCAGCTGCTCCCTGCTGGCAAACGAGCTGAGTCGCGTCGTAATGGCACGGCCGCGGAGCCGAGAGGAGCTGGAAGCAGGGAGCCCCGCTCCGCATCTGCGCGAGTGTTACGCGGTCATTTTCCCCGCGGTTACTCAAGCGCGCACAATCGCCGCTCTTGTTACGCCCCTCGGCCTCCCGGAGAACGCCACGTCCTTCCCGGGCGCCGGAATCGCGCTCGGCGCGGGAACGTTTCCGCTCGACGATGACTGCTTTCCCCCGCGCGGTTGCTGACTCGCGGCCAGGAACTTTTAGGGGGCCAGTCGGTCGCGGGCGCACGCGGTGGGCGCGGCGGTGGCGGCGGCGGTGGCGGTGGCGGTGGCGGCGGTGGCGGCGGCGGCGGCGGCGAGGGGGAGAGCTTGCGGTTCGCTCTGGCACGGCGTGCAATGCCGCCTGCCCGTACGCGCTCGCTCGCTCGCTCCCCGCGCGTCCTCCGAGGCAATGATCGTACAGTTTTTACGGTCTCCTTAAGTTTGAGGTTAAGCGTATAGAACGTCTGGTGGTGTGTGACGTGCGTGCTTGCTCGCTGGAACGGCTGGCGATCAGGTGGCGATGAAAAAAGGATGGATTCCGCTGAGGAAATGCATCTGATTCGTGGAACCGCTTGGAGGTATTTACGCGCGTGGTTCGTTCCTTTGTCGGAGGAAAGACGAACAAATGTTTGGAGACGTTCAGCAGTAGGATCGTGCGTACTCTGTTGTTACCTCAAACGTAATCACATTTTTTTTTTTTTTTTGTATTTCGAGGAAACATTTTCTGCGTTTGAATCTGCAATATGGGTATCTGTAGACTGATAGAGGACTCCTGAAATTACAGCCACAACGTGTATGTTACGTGGCCAAAAAATATTACGTTATCGTACAAAACACTTATAAATCTTTTAAAAAACCTATTTAGACGGTGTTTTCAAATTCTTACTAAACGTCCTGGTTCGTAGACTATACAAATATTTCACAAAACTCGAGTGCTACTTCTCGCAGCAAAACGGTTTAAGAAGCTACTTCTACACACATTGTCCTCAATCGATTCGCTAAAGAGACCTCACGCTTCGCCGCAAAGACGTGGATGCCTGAAGACACGACTGTCAGGAAGACACAGTTTGACTGCAGTCTCCTGGCCGAGCCCAGCTGAGGAGTTGCGTGTAAACCTCCGATCACACAAACACAAGCACACGCACACACACATACACACATTCATTAAAGCAACGTGGAGGTCCAGGAGCATAGGAAGAGCGGTGTACGCCCTTTGAAGAGCGCCTGCCTTGAGGTCGACGACTCGAGCGTTGCCATCCGGGTCTGTCGAGGCGATCCCGAAAGGTCGCGCGGCCGACGGAGGTGTGGGCGGGGCGAAAAGGCCGCCTGCCTCTGGGCGCTGGGCGAAAGGCGTTTGGCGGCGGCGGCGACCACGCCCCCCTTCGCGGCGGTGCGCGCGGGGCCCGGCGGCGAAGGCCCGGGCGAGGGCGAGGCCGCTAGAACTGCAGGATCTGGTTGATCCAGTCGCGGAACTGCGACACCCGCGTGTACACGCCCGGCTGGTTGGGCTCCGCGCAGCCGATGCCCCACGAGATGACGCCGGCCAGCAGCCAGCGGCGGTCGTCGCGCTGGATCACCATGGGCCCGCCGCTGTCGCCCTGCGGACAATGTGCGCGCACTCGTCAGCCTGGCAACTAGATAACAAGCTGTTTTAAATGTCACATAGAGGGCGAGAGAGGGATAGAGAGCGTGAGGGGAAAGAGGGTGGGAAAGCGGGAGGGGAGAGCCTGAGAAAGAGGGAAGAGGAGAGTGAAGAAGAGAGTGAAGAAGAGGGAAGAGGAGAGTGAAGAAGAGGGAAGAGGAGAGTGAAGAAGAGGGGAGAGGAGAGTGAACAAGAGGGGAGAGGAGAGTGAACAAGAGGGAAAACGGAAAGAGGGAAAGGAAAGGTGATATAGGGAGAGGGAAGGGGAGAGAGGGAGAAGGATGGGTAGAGAGGGAGAGGGATGGGTAGAGAGGGAGAAGGATGGGTAGAGAGGAAGGGGAAGGACAGAAGAGGAAGGGAGATTTGACAGAGGGAGTGAGGAGAGACAGAGGAGAGATAATGTAAGAGGAGAATATATAAAAAATAATTTAGTTGAGGTTCACAGAGCTACATTTTGGGACACAGATTATACAGTGGTACGTAGAAAACTTAGAGGTACTGTTAGATGAAAATTGAATATTATAGAGGCTTATTGTACGGCGTGGCAAATAAGAACGTTAAAAAAATTAATTTCCATTAATAATAAAGGAGCTAGACACACGTGAACCCTTCAGTCCAAGTTCAACTGTATATGTTATCTATATGAAGCGCCGTTACCATAATTAGAAAAACAGCAAATGGCACCCAAAAACGCGACTTCTGAAACGAACAGTGTACATACAGATACGATACAGGAACAGATATCCTCTCTAGTGTATGAATATACCTAAATACGCTCCTTGAACAATGCAAACTATCAAAGTGTTTGAAATTCTGGACAATCCTAAAAAAGTCAACCGTTATCTTATCCGCGCTAAAATTAGAAGTTGATAATACTGTAATTATGGCAAAACTAGTTGCCTGCAGCAGCAAAAATTCTGCAGCACATAATCACACAAAACTGTTTTCCAAATCGCAGCACGCTTACGTTTCAAGAAATACAAATAAAATACTATCGTATAACACTATCTTAGTGTTATCTAAAATAGTGTTTCAGTTGGTAATGCATCGATAGATGTAATTAGTATGCATCCGAGTTTTCTCTCTTACACCATATTTTCCTTGTTAATAAGAAAACTACACCTTCCTACTGTGAGTGTATTAAAATGCTCTTGGCGATCGTGAAGATAAAGCATTAATGATTTATTCGCGGGGCACAAAAAACAGGTAAGGAAGTTATTACGAACCTTATGAGAGTTTGTGTTGCACACTAACGAACCTAATTGTTACGACGGTTTAATTACTGATTTTATCAGACTGTTTGAGTTTATAAATTGAATATTACGTCGTCGCGCATAATTTTATCTATAACATGCCAATTACATAAGTTGATTGAAGCCAAGTTCAAATTTGTACTCATTTCATCGTTACTTTCAAATTTCAAGTGCAACTTAAGCCACTTAATGCATGAACCAAATAGCCGAACGAGCAGGTGAAGGCGCGGAAGTAGGTGAAGTGGCCAATGAGAACAAACGAACGGTGCCGGTGCGACGAAAACCAAGTGGCAGCGTGACTTGAGTGCGCGAGGGAATATGAAGTCGTCGCAAACTTAATGCATATTTAATACCTCTTTTGCAAACAGACCGCGCACTTCATGAAAGAGGTGAGAGATGGAAACTGCCGAAAGCATTATTTCGGCAACGAGCATGTCCACCCTTCCTTGACCGGCAAATTTCGCGTTTATTCATGCCTGCTAATTTGGCACAAAACGCCTCAAGAGAAATATGCGCTCGTGCTTAACGACTGTGGACGTCCACCGACAACCTTTCTTTTGTAAATGCTGTGCAAACTGAAGTAGTCGTTTTCACAATGATCGTCTTTTTTTCACAGTCTGCTTGGCGCTCCTCTTTAATTCGGGGTTTGTGTTAGCTACGCTCACGATCTTTCTTCGGTTAGAGAAGAAATACAATACGCACGATGAATCACCTAAAACAACGTTTCGCAAACAGGAGTCGGCAATTCCTCCGGAGAAGGCAGGGTCATTTAACGAGTTCGCTAAACAAACGCTACCTACATAATGCCCCCTCCAATGTTTTTAAAACTTGTTTAGAATAAAAAGAGGGCATTTATACAATCAGTATTTTAATGTTACGGATTTAAATAAAGCACAGATACTAATTGTAAGTAAAAGCAGCCGAAGAAAGTTAATGTCAAATCGTTCTCTTCAAAAATCCAATGAATCTTGAATTGAAATATATTACTTTTTGTGTATGAACGTGTTTCCTTTGTGTTTCCAACGATGAGATACGATACCAAAATATTGACGGTACAGAGAACACAGGACTTAAAAATATATCAAATAAAAATACAATAAGAAGTGAAACAATTGGTCTACATTTTCGTGCAGAACCTTTCTCGATGAGATTTCTTTGGATTGCTAGAAACATTTTCAACACGCCTTCCGAACTTCTCTAACCTTCCAAATTAAAAGTCAAATCCGATAGAAGGAAATACCAGGATAAATCGAAAGAACATGGCAGGGAATATTATCTTAGTACTGAGGACTCAGTATATTACAAAATCGATAGTTCGAAAGTTGTTAATCGGGTACAGAAATGTGAGCAGAAACCTAAACCACCCTACGTACAAACGAATTGTGAAAACAAAATTTCGACTCCATCCAACCAGAAAAACTTGTGATACTACAATTGCGCATACTTTGTCGTATTATTTCTCACTTTTTCAATTTTCGAAAATTCAGAGAGTTCAACGAAAATGAGACCTCCACCATTTTGAATCGTCCTTATTCTCTCCGTGGAAATAAATTGAAGAACAAATTTGTAGCTTTTTTGAGATTTTTTTACAAATTGCATTAATTTCAAGCATAAATTGCGTGAAAATTATTTGTTTCTCAAAAAATTGTGCATGATCTTCTTTCAACTTCTAATTTTTAGAACAGATTTTTTCATTTAAGAGAAAAAAGTGTCTTCACAATAGTATTTTCGCAATGTTAACATTTCGCAATTTGCGAAAATAGTAAGTGTTCGCCGGAAATTGGACTAGGGCACTTTTTCTGTTCTCTGATACATACGACAAGAAAATTGAAAGAAAAAATTGAAGCCGTCCTTAAGAAAATAATTGTTTACAAATTTTCAAAAAATACTTATAATTCACATAAAATTTCGCGAAAACTACTCATATTTTCGAAACATTGTACATGACGTTATTTTAATATCTGCGTTTTAAAAACATATTTCATTCAAAAAAATCTAGCTTCAATCATGTAGTTGTAGGAAGTCGCCAAAAAATGTTGAACTTTTGCAACTTTCGAAAAACTCAAGGATTTCCACAAAAGTTGGGCCTGCGCCATTCTTTTAAGAGTTCTCTACGCTCGCCGGAGACAAAGTTTAAACAAAAAATTGGAACGAATTTTCAAAATGTTCTTGAGTATCCCCCAAAATAAAATATCCATTTCGAACTCTCAGAGCGCAGGTTCTTGAGTTCTTTCAGATTTATTGGCGAATATAAATTTTGGACAAAATCGTCTGAACGGTTTAGGCCTAACTTTAACCAGGGTCTGACTGACGTGCGGACGGCCGGGCGCTTTTACAATTAATCGATTTTTCGGTATTAAGGGCCCGTAAAACATAGTTTCTGCACTGTCCTGGGAAAGAGAAAATAAGGATGTTCTCGAGCCGGTTATTCGGGATCTTAACTCGAATACGAGATTAGTAATTTTTCTACGCTGACCTAGTGACTGCCGGTGTGTGTCGTGAGGTCACTTGTAGTACAAGTCGAGATTTAACCGAAAGTTACCGGGTCGATTTCGGAGTGTATGTATAAATGTATGCTAACCCCCCGTCCCCCCAAGTGCTTGCGTCATGGTTTTCTATTCGAAACTGCACCGTGAGAAATTTTACAGCTCTCACATTTTAGAAGGTCAAGTTGACGAAACATTAAAACAGACAAGACATCATCCGTGGATCCGTTATTACAGTCATAACAGACAACATATTACCAATCACAGTGGTAGCACAAATAGATTCCTAGTCATTAGGCACAATGCAAAACGTCCATTGGAAAATGGACCAAAATTGTCCAAAAATGTTAGTATCCAGGACATAAAATACATGTAATATAAAACAAATGTCTACAATGTTTATTATCAAGTTCCTTACATCATATAAATTCTAACTAAAAAATGAACTGGAATACAGCAATTTATGAATCACACATACAATTTCTTAAATTTATCTTCCGTATATATTAGATTTCACGTTCAACTTACGTTAGAGCGCGGATGTAGTGCTTAATGGAATTATATTTTTTAGATTTTCTACTGTCACACATTTCTAAGTTCTTCTTTGGTAAGTGATGTAATTTTTAGTCACAACATAGATGTAGCCAGTTCAAGTCTGTAATATCAATGTTTTGTTGTCATGTTTTTCTTTACATTAATTATCTAAAATTCTCCATGTATTCATACTAACATGGTGAGCGGGCATTAACTTAAATATCAGTATTTGGTATAAGTTGTCACATACCCTAAAACGCATTCTCCACAAGGGTAATTGTAGCTCTATTCTGTTTACTCTATACGCATTCAAGCCAACATAGTGAACGCATTCACGCACGTGAATATGGATCAACGTATCCAAAGGCGTGAAGAGTTCGTTCACTACTCACTGTTGTGCAATAATCAGAAGCGTTGAGAAATTTATAAACCGTGGATCCGTGATTGCTTACGACACAGACAACCACGTACAGTAACAATACGTGGGAAAAAAGCGTTTTAGATTACGAAAATCATTTTCCTCGATTTCCTGTTCACCACAATCTCCTCCTACAATATCATATAGAAACGTCGGTTTTTCGATAGAAAACTCTTATTGTGGGGCCCTAATAAAAAATGGATAAATATAGTTCATATATGTTGCAAATTATTTCCTCTAGCAAGCTGTGTAGTAAAATACACAT